GCTTCATCAACCACGTGTTTTCTTTTCCTTATACGCTCTGCTTCAGCTTTCCTTTCCATCTCAGATTTCGCTTCAGTCTCTTTGTCATCAGTCTGAAGAGACCCCCCCCCCCCCCCCCCCCCCCCCCCCCCCCCCCCCCCCCCCCCCCCCCCCCCCCCCCCCCCCCCCCCCCACTTTGCTTCTCAATGTCCACATGGAGAGGTTTTGGGGCTACAGGACCTTGTAGCTATTTACCACTCCTAGTGGTGATTGCCTGCATAGCTGGTGGCGATTGTTGTTGAGCTGTAATAGAGGAGACCTGATTGGCTTCAAGCATAGCAAGTTCATCACTAGCTCTCTCAAGCTTCTGCAGTAGGTTTTGTTGGATAGCCAGCATCTCCATTTTACGGGCAGCCTTCATCTTCATTGCACTCTTCTGATTAGAAAGCATCTCTAGTTGATGTGCCGTCTGCATCTCCATTGTACTCTTCTGATTAGCAAGCATCTCAAGTTGATTTGCCGCCTGCATCTCCATTGTACTCTTTGTATGAGCGGCAAGTAACTGCTCAAGCAGTTTAGCTGTGTTTGTATCAGGCGTAGATGTTGGTGTAGATGAAGTGTTAGGGATATCCAGAACCTGTGCACCGGCCACTTAATGTTGAGGAACAAATTCTGTTCCATACATACGCTCTTGGTGTTCTTCATAGGAAGGTGTAGACCTGTGGTTTTGTTGTATGGAAACACCAAGCTGATTGTATAGTGGAGCGCTCTCCCTTATGTGCGCTTGAGTACTGTAAGCGTTGTAGCTGTCATATCTTGCATCCTGGTAAGGCTTATGATTAACATTATCTTGTTGCTGCACATAGTAGGCTTCCGCTTCTAAGTTGTAAGCATATCTAAGAGCTGATGTCTTCTCTATTGCCTTTGGTGGGTGATGTAGAGATTGCTCAAGCAACAAGTCTAGCTTAGCATTTAGTGCTAACATATCAAGCTTCGTTTGTTGATCTGAGGTTTCAGTATTCTTCTTTTAGCTGTCCTCTTGCTCAACCCCATTGTCACCATTACTCAAGGCAAGGTTTTCAATCAGCTGCAAACCATCATCAATAGTTGTACCCAAGAAGTGTCTGTTACTAGCTGTATCTAACAGCATCTTGAACCTTGGTAACATTCCTCTGTAGAATTTTATGAGCAATGACTCTGTTAAGAAACCATGATGAGGGCACCGCAAAGTGTACTCTTGAAATATTTCCCATGCTGAACAGAATGGCTCATCTTGTGATTGTTTGAACCCTGAGATGTTCTGCCTAAGCGTAGCTGTCCTGGTAGAAGAGTAAAACTTTGCAAGAAACACTCTTTTGCAATCATCCCAAGAACATACTGATCAATAAGGCAATGATCTTTCCCACAAATGTGCACGTTCACCAAGAGAGAAAGGAAATAACCTTAGTTTGAAACCATCTTCTGTGATGCAATTGATGTTTTGTAAACTGCAAAGGCTCTCAAAGCCGTCCAAGTGATCAAGCGGATCTTCATAGATCATTAAAGCGGTTGCCTTGTACCATTGCAATCAAACTGCTTTTGATCTCAAAGTGATGCTCTTGAGATGGTGGAGGAAGTATACCTCTGCGTCTAGTGTGAAGGTAAGGAGCATCATGAGATCCTATGTGCTGTGCTCTTCTAGCAATCTGAGGCACTGGCCTATGTAACCTCTGAACTGGTGCTTCATCTTCTCTGAACTGAGCTTGATAAGCAGGTCTAAAGTGGTTTGGGTTAGCCATGGTACCTGAGAAAACAGAGCAAGAAAGCTAGAGTGATTAGTAAATTAAAAGGTGGTTAAGTCTAAGCAAGAACCTAAATTCAATTATCTAACAATCCTAGAATGGCAACGGCGCCAAATTGAAGGACTTTTGGGTCACTAGATTCAATCCCTCTCTAATCAGATGTAGTATAGAAGAGATTTAATTAATCCATCTAGGAGCTAGAATAAAAGAGATGCAAGGAACTAACTAAGCTTAACCATGTATGATGAAGAAGGATTATACTAACAACCTAATTGGAAAAAGATGAAATGCAGAAGTGAAAAGCAATACTAACAAGACTAAAGATAGCAATGCAATGCAAAAAAACTAAATGCAACAGGAACTAACAAGGCAATGGACTAAATGCAACAGGACTAAGATAAACAAAGCAATAGAAGTGCAAGAACCAATATAAATGCTAAATGCAATAACTTGAAATGCAAGGCAAGGAACGGAACAAAAGCAAGCAACTAAAAACAGAGGAAAACAGAACACAAAATGATGAAGAGCAAAGAACAATGAGGCGCTGGTTCAAAGCTAGAGCAATGATGACTTAGGGATTACTTAGCATCAAACCTAGGGTAGTTAAGACTGATAACAAGCAAAGAACATGATCAAGCCACTAAATCAATCAATCAAGAACAGAAACAACTAAGTTAAGCACATGTCAGACCCACTTGTGATGGCGTATCTGTACAAAACCAGCCTGTAACAAGAACAGAGATGTCTAAGTTAAGCACATTGCAGACCCACTTGTGATGGCGTATCTGTGCGAAACCAGCATGAAAACACAAGGCTCTTATATACCAAACATGCTACCTAAACGCCAATATAATCATCTAGGAGAATGTTCCTAACAAAGTTCTTTCAGGCATTTAAACAAACACTTGTGATGCACCAAACACCTATAATCAGTTTCACCCTAAAAGAGTTACTAAGCACTAAGGACAACTAAGCTAAGTGATCTAAGTACTAATCAAACCAAAACATCCTAAGATATCAACCAATCATCCCCAAATCTGCTCCAACCTCAAACCATATGAAACTACTCACAACACATAGAAAAACCCACATAAATAAGCAGAGATGATAGATCAAACATGATTAAACAAGAACTAGAAGGAAAATAACAAAGGAAGTGAAAAACTTTATTAAAAAGGTGATCTAGATCAAAATCCCATAAAAATCTCTTTGTGGTTTCCCACAAGATCGAAAAATAGGGTAAAGAAGAAGATAATATAACAAAAAGATAAGTCAAAAGCTTAAATAAGTGAAAGGATAATGTTTGGTCAAAAATGGAAAAATTGGTCAACTCTAGGATAAAGCACATCGAGGTGTACGGTAGATGTTTTGCTCGATGCAGTTGGTCGATGTAGTCTGTCCCTGTTGCTCCAGACAGCTTTGCTCGGTTCAGCACGTATCGGGGTGTTTTGCCTGATGTTTCGGTTGATGTGCTTCCCCGGTATACCAGGCTGGTAAACACTGCGTAGATGAAATCGCTCTATCTCTTTATTTCCAGATCCAAATGATATGATATGACCACCATTGGACAGCTATTGAGATTCTCTACAACTTTCATGAAGAACGTGGAACCTGAATCTAAGTGGAGAGGCTTCGCCAGACCGATCTTTAACCCCATCCTGTTGAACCGAGCAAAGACCTCGATGTGTGACCCGGAACCTTGCCTTTATACTCTCTATGTCTTTTTTCTTTATATAGGACGCCCCCTCAAAACACTCATAAACAGATAGTAGTCTCAATACCCGGACGAGACTTCTCACTCCAAACGTGTATAAACTTCCCTCCTGAGTATTTGTTCCCGGTAGGATGTTCCTTGACTTTGGTGTCGGAGAACCGTCGGAAGGAAAATCCCTTTTCAGTCTTTCCGGAGGTCCGATTGACCATTTGTTTAGTGCTTACAGGATATATCATCATGACTCCCCCGTAACCAGGACCAAAGTAGGTTTCCGTCCCGGAATGACTCGTCGCCTTTCCCCCAAAAGAGCAATAATGGGAGACACAGCTCCACCCCCCGGACGAATCAAATACCCCCCTCCCTCCACGTAGCATCCCGAAATTTGCTCCCGAACAATAAGACTATAGAGATAAGAGCTTTTTATTTTTTCTATTTTTTTCCAAATAAATTAAACTACATAATACGAAGTGAAATAATTATTATTTATTTAAATTAGTATAATTTAAAAATTCTATAATATAATGTAATTAATTTTATATTAATCATGCATAAAATTATACTATAACATTGACAATACAGTTTTATTTTTATTATTCAAAAATATAAGGTATATTAATTGTTATATAAATTAATATAAAAATTAAATATTCTGCACATGACGTATATATGATTGAATAAAAATATGAAGTCGCTATTGTCCAAATTTTGGGTAAACAATATTTATATATTTGTTTATTTATTTTTGATCCTTAGACAAAGATTAAAGATTATTGGTTAAATTGTGTATTATCTATGTATTATATCCAATGAATTTGAGGAAGACTCATTTTTTTATGTTCATAATTTGGTAAATAATAAATATAAAAAATTGATTATCAATTTAGTTATCATATATCAAATTTAATAAAAGTATTTTGATTAAATTATTAGTTAATTTCTAATGCGTTATGATAATTATCAAAATTGTTTTATTATTAAAATTCAAAAAATGTAATCGATTTTAATATTATTTTTATACAAATGTCTAACAATTCTTTTTGTAAATATCTCAGGATGATCAATAAATTTGAAGTTTTGTCCCAAAAAAATTATTTGTGAAAAACAAATATACTATAACATGACAACTATTTTTATTTGTTCTTTATTTATTTATAAATGATAAAAATATATATCTTATATACACAAACAACTCTGAACATGTCAAACCATGACAATATTTGAACATAAAAACATTTACTTAAAGATGAAAATAAATAGATAGAATGTTTTGACATTATGAGGTACGTCAAAACATATTACAATTGTTGTTGTTAAAGTTGAGTCACTTTCAAAGAATTGTCGTCCCTGATGTCATTATCTTCACCTTCTCTTTTGGGCATATCATTATTTTCTTCACCATGTTGCAAAATTCACTACACATCAAATTAAATATTTTCATTAATATTTTTCCAAGATTTAATATCGATAGAGATAAAGATAGAGAAGTGAGAGAGAGAAAAAAAAGATAAGAGGGAAGAAATATACGGCCATGGATCATCTCCGACCAGCATCATATCTTCTTCATCGTCTGTGAAAATTATTTCCCATTGATTAGGTATACGCAGTTTGTCTTTAAGATCAAAGAGTTTCTCTAACTCGTCGATCAACTCATTGTATCCACCAAGAACAGTTAAATCCACTGTTCTCCCTACGGCTATACCTTGCATCTGAACCTGTTCAAAAACGATATCATGAACATGTGAACTAATCAGTATCGTTTCAATTTATTTTAAAAATTTATTAAAGTTTTTTTCCACATATTTAATGTATTATAATATTTCATGTTAAAGTAAAGATTTTATTATAGATAACCATATAATCTTTATATATATATATATATATTATGTGTAAGTTACATATTAAAAAAACAGTTTTAGAACTCGTTGATATATATATATATATATGTATATAAAGAAAGCGATGATATTTTATCATACCTTAGTACGACTTCTATGAGAGCTGATTTGCTTGTTTTTGGTTTTTTTTGGTATTGTAAAACCTTGGGTTTGATCAAACTTATTTTCTTCATAGATTTTTGAAATTTCTGACTTTTCGTTTGTGTCAATTAGTCCCTCAATATCTTTTGAGTTGGTGGGAGCCTCTAGATCCACTCCAAACAATTTGTACCCAGTGGCTGCAGCAGTAGTTTCATTGGTTGGGACTATGTAATTCATTAGCCAACCAGATGAAATCTTAGAATCATCAACTGAATCGTGATAACTAAATTGCGGAGAATTTGTTAGAGCATTCATGCTTGATTGGCCAATTTCCTGGCCTTGAGTTAGTGTTGGAGTCCACAAATTTGAACCTATATATAGAAATATAATAAGAAAAATTTCACAAAGAACCTTTAACTTTCTAAAAAATGTTGTCTTACTGATTTCAACAAGTTGACATTGACGTTTGTTCTTAAGTAATGATGATTCAAGAACACTTGATGAAGGTGCTAAAAGTTCAATATCCCATGATGAAATTCTATTAGGTGTTTGAATTGATGCAGCTTTATCCCATTGCACCTAGAAAAACAGAAGCTTTTGAACGTTATTTATTACTCTTTTATAAGTGTATTCTAAAACAATATATGAATATAGCTAGAGAGATTTTTACTTTTAAGTTTCGCCATTCAGAATTCCTCCAATAAGAAGAGAAATCTTCTATTTCTGTAATTTTTCCATAGTATCTGTTGCAATGAAAACAAATATATTTTAAATAAATATATTTTGGTAACAACAAACAAGAATAAGTATTCAAGATTTACCTTTTTTCATTAAATTCATCATCCTCAAACAACATGGTAAATGTTGAATTTATATTAAACTTGTTGTTCACTGCATCTAAAAATTTGTCAAAGCTTACAATAAACTGGCTTGACCTACGCATGGCAAGAACCAAAATATAAGTATCTTTGTTGAAAAAACCAATTACATAATGTTTTAAATTAAGTAACAAAGTGTTTTTTCATTACCTTGGCTTATAAAACACAGTAAACATACTTTTGGTATCAATAGCATTCATTGCAGAAGCTATTACTCCATGGTATATAGTATGTGAAGAAATAAGTAACAAAGGTATGTTGTCGTCTCGATGAGCTACTCTTCGAGCTCCAATTAGCGTCTCCCCATTTTCTCCTCTGAGAAAACAAAATATTTAATGTATTAAATCGAAGAACAAAAAAATGTAAAACAACAAAAAGTATATACCTAAGAAATATAAAACAGTCTCCAGCGACCAAATGATTTGCGGTCACAAATGCATTCCATCCAGTTGTGAAAAGATGTCTACGCGGTGTACCTAATTAATAATTTAGAATAAAATTAGATTATGAATCAAAAAGTCTAATATGAAAAATATTTATTACCTCTAAATATATGTTTAAATCTCCATTCACGGCCATGTAGATCTTTGGCAATTATTTCTTGAGTTGGGGTAGGATGAGACATATCCTAGAAATAAATTCAATAAAGAAACTTTTATATGCAATCTTACAAATTGAGTCAAAACATTAGTTTATAAAATTGAGAAACGAAATATAAATACCAAAAGGGGAAGACATTCAAGAGCATGTTTTCTTAGAACCGATAATCCACCATGTGGACTTGTATCAGAAACACTTAAAACTTTGGTGAAGTAATAAGATTGTAGATTTTCTTGATTTCTATTTGGAATAGGGATTCCAACTTCCTATAAAAAAAAAGAAATCCAAACATTTATTTCACAGAGATTAAAATATAGATGAATATATAAATTAATTTTATAAAATTTGTCACTCACAACTGTATCTGGCAGCAAAGCCACTTCGGCATACAATTCATTTGTATGTTTTTCTACCTAAAATAAAATATAAAAATAAGTAACAAGTTTGTTTTAGAAGATAATATCACAAAATACTACTATATATCTTCTGACCAAATGTTGTTAATGCGTATTTTATAAAGTAGAAAACTTAGTATCAAGGAGACATACATTTAGCTTAATTCCAATAACATTGCATGGAATCTTTGAAGGAATATTAAAAAGTGGTTGGATTTGGGCCAACTCATTATTTGTAGATGCTTCAAGCTGAGAATGCCATCAGATTGTAGAAAAAAAATTAACATGCCAAGATAGAGGAATGGGAGAGAGTATAGAAGGATACATGAAGAGAAACTAACCTGCTCTATATGTCCTTGAGGAAAGTAGTAAACTTTTTCTCCAAATTTCGGAAGACCAACCAAAGGTCCAGCACATAACCTCCATAATTTATTATACAAATAGCTTTTGGTTTCATCGACTGTTAAACAAAAAATTAATATCATGAAGAAATGCTTTAAAAAAACAAAAAAATATAGTCCAATTTTGTTCTCTTATACCTAAAAACTCAGGTTGCGCATTCATCACGTGATTACTCGCCATTAGCTCTAATTCCGACACCGGTCTCGAACTTTCACTTTCGATATGAGATTGTTTTAACACAATAATAATACTATTTTCAGATTTTTATAATTTTTACAAGATGTTATAACTCAAAAAATTAAAGATCCTTTTATAAATGTGTATAATTAGGTTCTAAATTATTTTTATTCATTTAAAAATATTTTTGACATCTGCATATTATCAATGTATTTTATTAGTTAATTTAGCCAACTAAAAATATTTTACAAATAAAAAAGATATATAAAATTCAAAAAAATAAAAGAATATCCGAGTAAACTAATTTAAATTTTGTTATCATTTTTAACATCAAAATTTTGTTCATATAAAAGATGATAAATATAAATTTATAATTTATGAATACTGCTGTAAGAAAGAATTATTATACCTTTGTTGAACGAATGGTGATGACTTTGTTTAAAGAACTAGTGAAAAGTTTTTGATATACTAAAAATTACTTTAAAGGAACGAGTTTGTCTTTTTTATTATTGATTTCTCATAGATCTGATTGTAGTATATATTTATAGGTGAAACAGTTACAAAAATATACATTAATATTTTGAATATTTGACTCTTAATTTATGCGAGTTACCAAAGAATAAAAGTATGGTCAAACATGTATTTCATAGTCAAACATGTATTTTTTAGAAATACGAAACTTATTAATACTAATTTAACTATATTTCCAAAAAAAATATCTTCAATAGAGCTATAAAAGAATTGAGCATATGAGACCACCCCGCATAATTAGGTGAGTATGCCTTCAAATGGATGATAAGACAATGTTCATGGAAGAAACAAATGCCGAAAACAGAATCTCTAGCCCCTTTACTCGAAAATGAGAATATTTACGAGAACTATTTCTAGTATCTTTTTCCAATGATCGATAAATAATTAAAGACAAGCTATGAGACTTTGATAAAGTTGTGTCAGTCCCCAGCCCTATTGTGAAGTTTCTCAAATCTTTTAGTTAAGTTTGGTGTGTTTGAAGATAGATCTAATAATTTTATTCCTCTCCTCTCAAAGCTTAGGGCATAGTGTTCAGTAAGGTATTCATTTTTTAATCCTAAAGTAATCCACTTAAATTATCAACAATACACAATTATGACTATGAGATTGACTATACAGAGACTAAAGGGAGAGGTAATTCGTAGATGGATTTATGTTGATTTTTTTTTTTTGTAAAGTTGAGATATTTTTCAATTTCTTATTGATTTTAAAAATAGGATTTGGTCATTTGGATTCGTATAATATATTACAATGGATTGATATTAATTGTTATTGATTTTCATTGATTTTGTTTTTTTCTTCTACAATGAAGTTTAATTAGTTTGGGTTAATAAGGACAATTCAAGATGTTCAAACAATCATAATAATATTAATCCAGGATAACCAAGCTAAGTGATCTAAGCATTAATCAAACCAAAACATCCTAAGCTATCAACCAATCATCCCCAAATCTGCTCCAACCTCAAACCATATGAAACCACTCACAATACATAGCAAAATCAACAGAAATAAGCAGAGATGATAGATCAAACATGATTAAACAAGAACTAGAAGGAAAATAACAAAGGAAGTGCAAAACTTTATTAAAAAGGTGATCTAGATCAAAATCCCATAAAACTCTCTTTGTGGTTTCCCACAAGGTCGAAAAATAGGGTAAAGAAGAAGATACGATAACAAAAAGATAAGTCAAAAGCTTAAATAAGTGAAAGGATAATGTTTGGTCAAAAGTGGAAAAAGTTGGTCAACTCTAGGATAAAGCACATCGAGGTGTACGGTAGATGTTTTGCTCGATGCAGTTGATCGATGTAGTCTGTCCCTGTTGCTGCAGACAGCTTTGGTCGGTTCAGCACGCATCGGGGTGTTTTGCCTGATGTTTTGGTCGATGCGCTTCCCCGGTATAGCAGGCTGGTGAACACTGCGTAGCTGAAATCGCTCTATCTCTTTAAAACCAGATCAAAATGACATGATCAGACCACCATTGGAAAGCTATTGAGATCCTCTACACCTTTCATGAAGAACGTGGAACCTGAATCTGAGTGGAGAGGCTTCGTCCGGACTGATCTTTAACTTGCATCCTGTTGAACCGAGCAATGACCTCGATGTGTGACCTCGGTGCAGCTTCTAAACAGCTTGGCTCCATTCTTCTTGCATATTTCTTTGACTCCATATGATCCTCCATCCTCCAATAAGTCTCCCTAGCCTTAAAAACACCTGAAATACACCTTAAACATGTAAATGTATGCATTCCTAATCTAAATGCATGTATGGCTACTTTTATATGTAAATGAGACTAAAATGATTGGAAATAATGCAAGAACAAGAGAAAACATGCATGAAATGCAGCCTAAAATGCTTTAATATAGCAAGCTATCAACACCCCCACACTTAGTCTTTGCTTGTCTTCAAGCAAATAAAAGATTAAACATGGTGATGAGGTTTTAAAATGGGAACTCATATCATTAAACTGCTAACAATAGATCAAAATGATGTCTATGTTTCTAGTGCTAGAATGCAAATGATGGAACTTTACTCTAAAACTTAGCCACACTCATCACAAAATGAAAATGATTCTCAAGTTATCAATCTACACAAACTCTCAAATCACTTGACCTTTTTAACATTTAATTAGCAAGTAACCAATGGATCAAGTTTGTGCAAATCAAGTGAAAGCATTTGGTTCAAGGGACAAGGTTATGAGATAAAAATGATCTCATTCAAATTCGGTTCAAAGAAACAGGGGATCTCTCATATGAAATAAATCTATCTTAGGCAAAATGCTAAAGGTAAAAGCACACTTATGCATGCAAGTCAAAGCTCTCTTCTACTCTTTTCCCAAAGATAATCCTAATTAAGTCTAAACCCCAAGATAAACCCCTAAATCTACCCTTTCCCAAGACTCTTTTGATCTTTTTCTTCTTGAAATGTGGGGTACTTCTTCTTCTTTTGCTTATGTTGCTGACTTCTTTTAGAACTTGCTCCTCTTTGTTGTATAGGGGCCAATTTTCATCACCTTTTTGGTGGATTTCTTGGTCTGATTTTTCTCCTTTTGGATGATCTTTGTAGGCTTGTTGTTTCTGGCGCCCTTTTCTTCTTTGTAACTTAGAGCTTTCTTCTTTTTCAGTCAGCCACAAGATACAATCATCTTCCCACAATATCATTTTCTTCATGAAACCATTCTCACTCTTCTTCTCTTTTCAAAAGATACAAACATTTAAAGCTTAAACCACTTATCTCTACCCTTTCCCAAAACTTCTAACCTAGTATCAAGCTCAAAATGCAAGCTGATGTCTACAAGAGAGTTTTTCCTTACCAGCCTTATTCCTAACACTTTTTGCCAAGATAAGTTTGAAAATGATGATGCAAGGCCTCACAAACTCTCACAATAGTGTTTGGGTTTAGAAGGAAGGATTGGTTCAAGGTATGGTCAACTGTCCTTTAATGATGAGGATCAGCTACTTGGATCAACAAGAGTGGTGAAAAAGAAGAAGATGATCCAAATATGTCTATTGGTAGCCATGCAGTCACTTTCAATGCACAAACAAGATAATTCAAAGTCCAAATTAAGGTTCCACTTATATAATGGTCAAGATCAAATCAAGCAAGCTTCAACTTCAAACAAGAGTTTCAAAATCATAAGTTCAAAGAGTGGTTCAGCCTTATTTCAAGTGCTTCATAAAATGCATCAAAGGACTAAGAACAAGGGCATCATTTTCATAAACCACTAGCATTTTCAAAGATTCACTATCATTCCACCTATTTTAAACAAGCAAGCTACAACCTAAGTGAATGCATGAAGTCTAAGTCCTATATGAATGCACATGAACACTCTGTTTTTAAGAAATCAATTTTCGAAAAAATTTCAAATTTTTAGTGATTTTCTAGGCCTTAAGTGCAATGCATGGTTGCTAAGCTATATGTAAATGCAGCTGTGATGAGAATGCAAAATGTTAGTCTAAGAAACCCTACCCCACACTTAGAATACACAGTCCACTGTGTATTTGAAATGCAAAAGGAGGCAAAACCACAATAGGAACAATAAAATGTAAAAGAGAAAGAGTAAAGATTGAAGGAAGAAGATGGTGTGTACTTGTATTGGTGGTTGGAGGGGTGGCGGATGGACATTCATCACAGTGTAGAAATCCAGTAGAGACCATGGGGAAGTGACATCCCTTAAATCCTGGTGTTTTGAGATGCATTTGGCTGTAGCGAGCTGGGCTTTTGATGTTCTGCTCGATGTGCATCCTCGATGTGACCGCCCTGCTGTATACCGGTTTACTGCAATCGCCGTATCTCTTTAACCACTGACCGGAATGACCAGATTCAAATTTCATTAGAAATCTAACTCGATCCTATTCAACTTCTATGAAGGACCCTGAAGCTGAATCGCACTGGAAGGGCTCCGTTCGGATTGATCAGTCGGGAGGTACAGATGCACCGTGGAAGGGAGAGGGTGTTCTCCTCGGTGTACGGTCTCAGAGATTGTATCGAGCAGGGCCTTTGAGGTTTTGCTCGATATGGTACCTTGATGTGATCTCTATCGTGCAATCTGCTCGATATGGCTTTTGATGTTCTGCTCGATGTGCATCCTCGATGTGACCGCCCTGCTGTATACCGGTTTACTGCAATCGTGCTCGATGTGCATCCTCGATGTGACCGCCCTGCTGTATACCGGTTTACTGCAATCGCCGTATCTCTTTAACCACTGACCGGAATGACCAGATTCAAATTTCATTAGAAATCTAACTCGATCCTATTCAACTTCTATGAAGGACCCTGAAGCTGAATCGCACTGGAAGGGCTCCGTTCGGATTGATCAGTCGGGAGGTACAGATGCACCGTGGAAGGGAGAGGGTGTTCTCCTCGGTGTACGGTCTCAGAGATTGTATCGAGCAGGGCCTTTGAGGTTTTGCTCGATATGGTACCTTGATGTGATCTCTATCGTGCAATCTGCTCGATATACGGACTGCTTCTTTCCTGAGATAAACTGCATCGGGAAGAGTTTGCAGAGGTTCTGCTCGATATGGTACCTTGATGCAGAAACAGAGCTTTAGTTTTCTTGGATTTTCCACATTGT